AGCTGACCTGTTGCTTGGCTTTCTCAACACCTCGCGCTCCCAGTTTTTCTCCTACGTCTATGATTGCTTCTTCTCCACAAACATCCAAATGGAAGACTTCTTTGGGGCTCTACTCTGGGTTGTCTTCTTACTTCGTATTCTCTAAGTTACCTAAGGAACTTTCAAAACTTCAAATTATCATTTAAATTTCCAAAATTGGGTTCTTGATGCCCGAAGTCTGCTTTCCTGCCAGCCTTTTCCATCTCATTAGATGGAACCACCACTCACCCAGGGTAGAAATCAGAGTCACCAATGTCCTCCCTCATCTTCCTTCCCCCACTTCCAATCCACCAGGCTGTACTGATTCTACCTCTACAATTGCCTCAAATTCATCCTTTTCATCTTTCTGCCGCCACTCCTAGTCCAAAGCACTTGGATGACTGAATTAGCCTCTGAGCCATTCTCCCCACATCCATTCTTGTTCCCTCCCATCTTCTTTCTGCCAGGTGGCCAGAGCAATCTCTTTGAAGGGTAAATCAGAGCACGTCATTTCCTGCTCAAAGCTCTGCACTTGGCTTTCATGGCTCTTGGGATAAAACCCAAACATTTTACCATGGACCACAAGGTCCTGCATAATCTGGCCTTGCCAACCTCTCTAGCCTCCAATCCCTGCCACTAACCACCCTCCCTACTCTATGCTTCAGCCCCAGTAGCCTCCACTCATGCTCTTCCCCCTTTCTCAGCCACACGAGAACTGTTGATGATTATTTAGTGATTATCTATTTCATATTCTCGTCCACTAGACTGCAGGCTCCCTGTAGGGATCATGACTCACCACGTATCCCTCTGTGACCAGCAGAGAGCCTGGCATAAAAGAAATACTCAGAAAGCACTAGTTTAATGAATGAATGATCTGTCAGAAGGGTGTGATGCTACTAACCAGCACTACTGACCATCCCGATCCTAGTGCTGCCTGTTGGCTGACCTCGAAGTCAGAGGCTGGCCATCGCCATGTTGTTGTGCTGTAGTGGTCCATGGTGGGGGTCAGCTGTGGAGTCAAGGCTGCAATCCGGAGTTCATATGGTCCTCGGCGGGCTACCTCCAAGTCTTGGCTCTCCTCTTGCCAGTTTTGTAATACAATGAGTTTTGTTTTAAGTACATTATGTGCCCCTCCCTGTAGAGCCCTGGGGCTCATGGAAGGTGGGAAATCACAGTGTTTGGAAGTTCCCACAGAGCTTTCCCTTAGATGGTTTGGATTGAAGCTCACCAGAAGCTCCAGATGTTGTATATCAATCAGGAAGAGCTTAGAATCTGAGGGACCTAGAGCTCAGACAAGAAAACAGAGGGCCCCAAGAAGACATGAAAAAAGTCACAGATCCAAGACTTCAACTCAGAGTTCCTAATTCCTATTATTATTTTATCTACGAATATTTTTAAACAATGTAATGATTTATGGAAGAGATAAAGAGGCTCTGGAAAGGCAGAAGATGAGGCAGCTAATTCTGCTTGGAATTAGCTAACCTGATCTTGAGATACAGGAGTGAGTTCATCCTCAGGCAAAAGTAAGACAGAAAGAGATTCCAGGAAAAAAAAGAAAATGTATTGTGAAAGGACTCAAGTTACATGACTGGATCAAGCCTAGAAGGAGAGAAGTTCCCTTGGGCCATCTTTCTCTGCTCAGTACCACTTGCTGATGCCACAGTGGATAGAGCCTCTCATTCTATCTGCGATAAAGAGGTGCCTAGAGCCCTCCCCACTGTTTGTAGGGAGGAGAAAGCACATCTTTGCCCCATTCCAGCTGCTCACTTATAATTCTCTCTTGTAAATTCTTACAGCATTGTGGCCTATAAACAAGCCTCGTGGTTGAAATATGCAGACATCACAGAAAAATAAAGGTGCTGACCTGCAGGAGCTGGAAATATCAGCAAAGGCCAGACCCCTCTGAAGACAAAGAAAGAGACCAGGAACTGGTGACCAAAGCAACCCACTGCCCAAGAAACCTGAGTTTCAGCGAGAGTCAGCCTCAGAATGACCTGCTCTGGCTCAGGGTCCCTGGTGGGTAGGGGAAAGCTTTTTCCTGGTGATGGACATCAGCTTTCAGATGGTCCCTGTTAGGCAGACGTTAGGTTCTGCAGGCAGTTGAGTGGGAACTTTAAGGGTTACATGCAAGCGGCATGCACAGCCATGCCAGATGCTATAAGGGGCTTCAGATAGTAGCCGCTTTCCTCCCGGAAACTGCCTTACAGACTCCAAGGTATACCTAAGCTGGGTGTGGTGCCAGGAGTCCCATGCGAGAATTCAAATCAAGGCACACATTTTCAACAGCCTGAAAGGAATGTGGAAGGGATGTTTTGTATGAACTGCCAACAGTGAACATCAGCTTTTTTTTTTTTTTTTACTAAAATAAAACCTTGGAAAAAAAGTTAGCTTTCTTCCTGAGGCCTTATTAGCTGTGAACACGCAGAAGAGATTTAGATCTCAGGCTCTTGGCTTCAAGGTAGTTTTGTTGTCGTGGTTACTATTGCTTTTAAGAAGCAAATATCAAGACCTTTTCTTTAATGGAATATTAAATTGAATACTTCCCAAAGTGAGTGGTGTTGGTGAGAGAGGAGAGAGGAAATATGCTAAGAGCCACTTCATTTTGAGATATTTTTACTCCCTATTTTACCTACATATATAAAAGCAGACTTACTTCCTAGTAAAATCAACATTCATAGTATGTGTGTGACTCATTATTTCTCAGTTCAGAGTCCCTCTATTAACTATAGAGGGTAAAACTTAAAGCTAGAGAATGCATTTAAATCTCAGAGCATTTGGGCTCAGAAGGTTTGTATCTCTGATCCCTTGCAGCGAACGGACAAAACTTTTTGGCACATCTACTAAGGTCCCGGCACCATGCTAGGTGCTGAGATACAGCAAGCACATGGCCGTTCCTGCCCTAACAGAATGTCTAGCAGGCAGAGCAGACAGAACAGAAGGTAGTGATGTATCCGATAATCAATGCTAACATGGAGAGTAGGGAGGGCTTCTCAGAAGTGGCACATGATTAAAACTGGAAGGATAAAGAGTTACCAAGGTCAGAAGCTGGGGAACATTCCTGACACATGAAACAACAATCTGGAAGGCCTGAAGGTGAAAATATCATAAGATAAAAGAATTCAATGTGAAGAGAGCAGAGAGAGGGAAGGAGGGAGGGAGGGAAGGAGGAGGGGTATCAAGGGGGATTGAATTGAGAGATGGGACTGGGGTGGTACGGAGGAACATCACAAAATCAAGCCTTCAAGAAAAGTTTCTCTCTAGAAGAAGAGGGGATAGCCATTGAAAGGTTTTAAGCAGGAACATGGAATGCTTATCTTTGTATCTCAGCAAGAGCAGTGAGAATGAATTGGTAGAAGAAGGTATGAGAGAGACTTGCAGAAAGGAAACAAGCAGAGAGACCCTTTTAGTAATCCCGGTGAAGGATGATGGTGGACTGACATTGGGCGAGAAGCTATGAGGATGGAGAAAAGTAGATGCACCGGGAGAAATATTTGGAAGCCAGAGGTCAACAGGAACTGGTGATGGATGGACTGGAGAGGGTAAGGTAGCTGGAGGCAAGAATGACTGAGATTTGGGTTTGGGGCAACTAGGAAGAAGGCAGAGGCTCTCACTGAGACAAGCAACATAAACACGGAAGTTGAGATGGGGAGGATGAGTTCAAGGCCACGCTCCTATCTAAACTCTCACCAATACGCTCATTCCTCTTGACTTCTTCCCTCCCACCCCAGTCCCTGACCAGTTCCCCAACCTGAATGAATCTATGGCCTCTTCTTGCTCCTGAAAAGCTTGCTCTCAATATCTAGAAAAATGCCCTTATTTGTCTAAATTGACCCTGCCATAAACTTCTGGGTTTTAACCTGAACTGAGGTCTCAAAGCCCCAGTATTGGCTCCTTTGCAACCCCACCAGTCACTAGGGTAGCAGTTTCAAACCTTTTCTACTCTCCCCAGGTCACCATTTCTTTGAACAGATGTTCTAACACAGGGGTTCTAAAAGTGTAGTTCCTGGACCAGCAGTATCAGCATCCCCTGGGAACTGATAAAAATGCAAGTTCTTCGGCTCCACTAGAATCAAACTCGAGGGGTGGGGCCCAACAACTGGTGTTCCCACAAGCCCTTGTGCCTAAGAACCACTGTTCTAACCTATGGTCCTTTTTCACCTTAAAATGTTTCCCTGAGTCCCCATCCTCCTCTTCCTGCATCCTGAATTCTTGAGGCCCCAAAAGCAGTGTCCTTAGTTCTCTCCCCAAGTAATCTAGTTTACTCCCACAGACTCCAGAAATCTCTTTCCAACAACCCAATCGACACCTCCATTTGGATTTCCTCAAACATAAATCCAAACCAAATTCTTCTTTTCCCATCCCACTATCTAAACTCACTCCATCTTTTATATTTTTCTCCTGATGGATTTCATAGTTCACCTCCTGGTTCCTAGACTGGAAATCTCCAAGCCTTCTCTGACTCCTTCCCCTCACTATAGTAATCTCTCAAATCCATCTCCCTTTCTATACTTCTTGCTACTTTTGCAATCTATTTTCATCTACTCCCCAGGCCTTCAGTCTGACCACAATCCTCCAACATACTATCGCCATCATCTTCTTAAAAAGAAAAGTTAAAAAAAAAAAAGTACATCTCACTTTTAAATTTTCAATGGCAAAGCATCCAGGAAGAATTGCTATGGGAATGTTCTTAATATTTAAGTTGGCCATATTTAAACAAGTAATAGGAAGAGTCTTCCCATAAGGGCTAGTATACAATGAGCACCCAACAGACACCTGGGTGCTCTGTACATATTATTGCTAGTCCTATCAGCAACACTTCAGGGAAGGCATGTCTTTATTTCAAAGGTCATAATACTGGAGTTCAGAGAGATGTGACTTGTGTAAAGCCACATAGCTGGTAAGTGAAAAGGCTGAGATTTGATCCCAAGTCTCTCTCCCTTTCATCCCACCTTGCTGCCTCATTTCGTATGACTGCAGACCTGTATTAATGATGTCTACTATCAGTAAGCCAAGTTTAACGCCAGTTTAAGTCTATTTCCAGTACATTGCCGCCATTCGGTTAAGCTTAACAGCATTCTGGTCTCTAATTTGCAACACCCTATAGCACTCTAATGAAACACAGATACTTCTTTTTTCTTTGCAGGTTTTTAAATGATATCATAGCAGTTAAAAATTAATCAAGAAATGACTGGCTCTGATCCAGAATATGAGGTCATGCTTTGCTGCGGGATGCAGTAGGAAGAAATCCTTGATGTAATTTCCTAGGCTTGCTGGGATGGTTATGTACAGATACCAGGTAGTTTCTCATTTCCCCAAAATGGTGCCAACTTTTGGATGTAGGAGACGATAAATTGAGGATAAATCTATAAAGAAGGGGAGAATAAAAATAGTTCAGTTACATTATGTTCCTGTTGCTCCATATATCCTGATTCTTGCAGGCAAACTTCAGAGAGAGAAAAAACAGTAAGAGGCACACAGGTTTTCCTCTTATAAAAAGGTACAAATGAGAACATGACTCAAGGTAAAGAAAGCATCTTTTATAGGTTTATTAGTCCATTAAGTTAATTGAGGTAAAGAAACCTTTTTAAATTTCCAAGCTAACATTTTATCAAGCAATACAAATTCTTTTGTTTACCTCAAAATGTAACACTAATCTCATAGTAAACAACAGACAGAATTTTTTATACACAGATATATGAAAAACAGTGGACAAAAACCTCGTGCCAGCATCAAAAAATGCAACAAAAACTTTATACTTTTACAATCTCTGGGTTCCCTAACGAGGGGAAAAAAGGTAACATTCTTTTAAAAATTTGGTAGCTTCATGAAACAAAGACTTCGATTTGTAAATAAATCACTTTCTCATCGACACACATCCTCGAGCACTTTTTTTTTTTTTTCACAGCTTTTGATTTGGCTTAATGGCAGCATGGAGAGAAGAGAACACATTTACACAGAGGACTTTATCAGTACCTCGAAAGGTTTTTTTTTCCTTTTAAAATTTTCAATGTAAAGAATGATTTCTAAAAATAAGTCCGTAATTTGGACATGACCTAAGCAAAAATTTTTATCTCTTTTTCAACAAGTTAAAATACAAGTTAGAAAGTCTGCTGGCAGTCGATTTCATGGGAATATATCTGGCGTGCATCATTTCTCAACGCACTCCCAACTCATAGACATCAAGGGAGCAGGCACACAGAAGTACAACGGACAGGGCGTCTACTGGACAGGACCCACACCTCAGAGGAGGTGTCCAGGTGAACGGTGCTGACTGTTAACAGCTGCTGGTTTATTTGATGAAGGCCCAGCTGACACGGGCATGATGTTAACATACCGATTCCCATTTTTGTTTGCAATCTACTTTCCTTTTCCGATTTCTTCACTGAGGAAAAAGCAATCCCCCTTTCTTCTTTCTAGTATCGTTTGTGACTTGAGGGTTGTTCTGAGACTGTGAACCAGCCTGTCAAACAGGGCTGTTGACAGGTATTACCTGCTTTCACCCAGCCTGTGGGGCACCCAGAATCATGCAGTAAGAGGGAGGCGCTGCCAGGAGAGGTACGTGTACAAGAATCACTGGTTTTAACAGTAAAAGCTCTGTTAAAATGTACTAAATTACATGAGTCAACACAATAGGTTTTATGTTTTTGGCATTTCAACCTGTGGAGAATTTCCTTCTGAAACACGCTGCTCTGAGGCCCCACAGTATCTTTTTAAAAACTGTTCTGCAGAATCAGGGTAAACCTTTAATATTGTCATAATCTATAGAGCTTTTTGTGTCTATGTGATTTGTCGATGCTGATACCATATATTTTCTACAATCAAAAGTGTGCCAAAAGGCACTAAATTAATCTTTCACACTTTTAAACAACGACAACAACAAAACAGTTTCGTGGTCCCTGTGTTTCCTTACATTATCAAAAACATCATTTGGCAATAGCAATATTTAGCTCTCTCCTCCCAAAAGGGCAGCCTTAACTATGAACCTCACTTTCTGGCTTGTTTAAGAGGACTGAGGACCAGCTGTGTTAGACTGCTAGTATTTAGGCTGAACAACTGATTACATTTCTGAAAACTCTTTTTATCCAGAATCTAAAAAACACTAGTTGAAGAATAAGGCATTTGAATAGGTGTTGACAAATTCTCGAAAAGAAGAATTAGACTTTTAACAGTCTATGGCATTTTTAAAAGTCTGGATTTGCTGCTTTTCAAGTGCTAAATACACGGAATGCTTAAACATGAAAAAAAAAATGTTACTGGTTTGTTTTTTTTTTTTCAAAGCACTTACTTACAGGCTATCTATAGTAGTAAAAACCACCTGGATTACAATTTTTCTGCCACACAAAACGGGGTTAAGACAGCCATACCCAGAAAGCATTTCAAACATATGACTAAGGACAGTCAAACCCCTATAACAAAGCCCCTCCCTTCCTTTTCTAGCACAGTCAGCCCTGCTCATGCTCTGATCTGCGCAACTGTGGGGAGAACAGATATCCTTCAAACAGAAGGCTAACCACCTCTTCAGTGGGTTGATTAAAAAAAAATGGGTTTCTGGTTTATTCACTGAATTTTAAAAACCACGAGGAAGAGGACAACACAAATGCACCCAGCTCGATCTGTAAGTCTGGCCCAGGGGATGACATTTTCCTCAAGGTTACTGATAAATGCCACCTGCCATGAGCATAGAGAAAACATAAGGGGAGGACACGTCCAGTCTGTTGCCATCTTGAGGACTTTTGAAAGTGAGAGGCAAATCCACATTCCCAATATAATTTTTAAAATGGAGATGGCCAAAGCACTGTTACCCCAACCTTAGAATTAGATTACCCAGTTTCCACAGGCCTTTAAAGCAGGCATCTGGGAAGGTGAAGTCCAGGCTGGTGTGCCCCTCTGACCATAAGCAGCCCATCTTCTGAGCAGAGGCACCCGTTAGGGCAGCTGGAGTAGAATCCAGCTCTAACCCATCCCAAGACCCAAACAGGTAGAATGAAACAATGAATCACCACTCAAGGTAGAGACCTAGGAGGTCACTCTGGACCTCGCTCTCTGTCTTTTCTCACCAATCAGGATAGAGTATAGAGAATGACTTTTCTGCAGTCCAATGAATGGTACCAAAACAGAGCCAGGTGCCCATGATGTCAATGCTATCAAAGGCAGGGCCAAGTCACACAACCTCTGAGTGATTCTTGGGCTGATACCACTCTAAGAGAGGAACTTACAGACAGCCCCGTGGCCTGCGTGCCCTCCTCCGAAGTGCGACTTCCTGTCATTCCATCATAAAAGGCAGTCTTGCAAGAAATGGGCAGTAGGTGTTCACTTAGTTTCTTCATGTGGATGGCAACTGAGAAAACACATTCAATTCAACATATAGAACACACTCTGGGTATGGCTGAATTTTGGCATGAAGACAAACTCATGTTACATTCACCATGATCTCCAGCGTTGTGCTGGGTTTTATTTTAGCTAAAGAAAGGTATCTGGTTAGTTCAAGGAGCAGCACAGTGAAATACGAGCCAATCACCCCCATAATCGCACTTATCCAAGTTCACCAGGAATTATTATTAAGTCTTATTGAAGGAGAGAGACCAACCCCAAACCCGGCAGTGTAAGATGTTCCCTCCATTAGGAGCAGTGGTTCCTTGATTTGAGCAGAGTAGCCTAGAATCTTCTTGCAGATCCACCACATGGTAAGGAAGAGCAATGTCTATATCCGCTACAAATCACAACCGCTCTCTTCAACATCATTTGCTCTCTAAACTCTGCTCAGCTTCCAGGAATTCTTTCTGCCTTAGCCTGGATTTTTAATCTGGGTAAATGAAACCTTTCACTTCCCAGGAAAGTGGACTTTCCACTCCACTCATGTGTGCTCAAGCTTCAAAACCTGTCCATGTCTGCCTGAGGTAAGATGCATCTGCAAGCAAAACTCTCCCGGAAAATAAATATGAGCAGGAGTCAGTGATCTCAGCACCACGACTTTGCAGAACCAAAAAGGATGTGGTGACGGAGCCTCTACAAGGCAGTCTTTGGCACAAAAGTCTCTGGGTTACAGTTCTCACAGGGAATCCCCTTTGTGCTGATGGAGATGTGGAGGAGAATGCTTGGGGCTGTTGACCCTCAGGGGCCCAGAGGAGCCCTGGGGGTGGGGAGGGCTGAGATCTTCCTTCACTGCCTACTGTCCCTTTCCCTCTGGTCCAGCCTCCTCACCTCATCAGATGCCAGCCTACACCATTTCTCCAAGGCAGTCTGGTTTTCCCAGCTCTGCTACCAGTGGCATGAAGGAGGATAATTTGCCTCGTTCCAGCCCACTCTGGTATCTTAAAGCACCATCACGTGGGGACCAACCAAATAAAGACAAAATTCCAAGATGCCCGAATCCCTTTTGAGCCAGTCTTCTGCCTCCAATAATGTGACTGTGTGTGCCGAGAGTTGTCCTTCAGAGCAAATTCCGAAAGTCTCCGAAGAACCCAACTCCCATGACACTACGTGTGGGTCAAAAGTCCTGACCTTTCACAAAGTTGCATTTGTGAAGGAGGATAGTTTAAAGTCACATTTTTTATTTTGTGTAATGACTACGTGCCCCACTCCCTTGCCCATATGTCCCAGGAACTTGATTTTTTGAAGTGCTACCTTTTTCCCCAAATAACCCTTATACAGAAATGTCCCTGGGCTTTGGCGACTAGCAGCAGACTAGACTCTAGTCTTCTTATAATTCCTTCCATAGTTATTTCCAAGTATATGTTACACTGGGCAACGTTTTTAAAGCGCACATCCCATAAAGCAGGCTTCACAAATTCCCAAAGATGAGCATTCGCTCCCGGGTCAATCTAGTGTCTTCTGTCAAACAGCAATAGAGGGTCATCAACCCACTATTTGATATATACCCTGATTCTGCCAGAAAGCTGTCAGGTTGGACCCAGGCATCCATACCCATGTCAACATAATAGTTTAGAGGTAGAATGAAACAATGAATCACTACTCAGGGTTGATGGACTGTTCTTCTCCTCTACTTCAACAAATCATTTCTAATTGTACCAAAGTGAAAATTCACATCAAAGGGTTTAAGAATGGCACAAATGGGGTCTCACAGCACAGTCAAGTACCAATTGATGTAAAAATTAAACTTAAATTGTGACTTTTTCAAACATGATGACATAGAACCAAACTAGTTGTTGACATAGAACAGCATAACAGTGGTGGCTGACACAAGGTCAACTCTGCCGTTAGAAGCAGAATGAAGTGACTTCAACATGCTGCACATTGACTGGTATTTGCACATATGGCAGTGTCTCAACACAGCTGTTTTATTTTTTAAAAAAATACTATCATTTATTTGAGACTCAGCTTTATAATTTTATAGAAATGAGCCATGAATGAAAAAGAACACAAATATGACATATGTAGCTTCATTTCAGGAGAAGGAAACAAATGAGTTGGAAGATTCTTTTTTTTTTTTTTGGTCTGCTTGTTTTGTGTAGACTTGAAAAGCAAACCTGGTAATAGTTTGAAATAAAGACTTTAGATGCAGCCAGCAGTCCCCAGGAATTTGGCTGCAAATTGAGACTTTAGCTTAACTAGAAGCAAAGAGTTCGCTGTTGCACTTGTCATCTTGGAGGCCCAGCCAGAGAGTGACTTTTCTCTCTGACCAGGAAATATGAAGGGTTAAAGCACTTCATGTAGGACACTTCACACTGAGTTTATGAAATCTCGACTGTGTCAATAACGACATACCAGCCTCTCACCAAAAGGTTGCCCAAACATTCGGTGGACATAACATGAAACTAGGAATTTTTGGTGAGGTCAAGGCAATTGCACAAGCAGACGTGGGAGGCGGGGCTTGGTATCTGCCCCAAAACCTCAACAACCGGGGAGCTACTCTGACTTCAAGACGATGGATATTGCCTAAAAGGCCTAGTCTCTACTCTGATGACATGTGACAAGCAAAAGAAAAACACTGAAGGACTTCACAGAGAAAAATGCACCTTTTTTCATTTTACAGAAGAACAGTTTCCAATCTACTGCATTCTAGTGTCAGAAACAAGTCTGGGGAGCACTGCCCCCTCAGCTCCCCGAGGCATCGCATAAGGACAAGGACACTAGCTTGCTCACTCCAGCACAGATGCATTTAGACACTGATTTAAATTGTCCAGAAACCACAAAACAGGGGTCAATCATCACGAGCAGGCAGCAGGCCACACTCACAGCTACAGGCCACACTGTTCAGTAAAGACTTTCCACGGAGGTGCCAACACCTCCTTCTAGGCTGAGACAAGCCACTGTCGACAGAGGTCAGTTTCAGAGCCACCATGTATCCAACAGAACGCAAGAGCTGCCTTCTATCCATGTCTTCTTCACGTCCCTCAAAAGTGGGACCTGGCTTCTCTTCCATGACAGGCAACTCCGCTGTTCCAAAACAGGAAACTGTAACGAGATGTCAGAATGTCAGCTGAGGGTCGTCTTTGTCCCTCGGTTTCAAATCTTTGTAGTGTTCCATTTCGGAAGTTCCTTCACCACACGGAGGTATGCTTCTTTCGCTGAGAGATGACTATAGCCTTACAGACTCCATCAGGGAATAAATAATAATTGAAAACAACTGTCAGACAAAGGAAGCTGGGGAAAAGAAAGAAAGACACGAGGAGATGTTTCTGTGGTTTTTCTCAGTGCCGCCTCTCTGGCACTGCAGGGACATTCCGGTGTAGGGAGCCATGCCCTGTGTAGGTAGAGAGTCTCTGTCCCAATAGGAAATTACTTGGCCTCTTGTTTCTCCTGCAGTAGTGGAATAATCGACTCCCACGCCATGAGGCACTGAAACAACAACACGCACACACAGTATCAGCATCGAGTTTCGGATTTCAGAATCGGCTCCCTAATTCTGCTCTAATCTACCTTTTGTCAATCCTGCTGGGTCACCTCTGTCTAATGACACCAATGTGTTATCCATAACTGTTAGAACCAGGGGCAATAGCAGGTGTTTGTTTTGAATACATCACTCCATCTCTACCAAAGACAGCAGCGCCTCTACAAGGCCTACGCGCACTGTCTATATGGCTCATGTCTGGTGAGTGGAAAGGAATTCTTTCTCTTCAAAAAGCAGAAGATATAGCAGGCTACATACCCTTGATGAGGCCCTAGGTTGTCAGTCAGGATGGAGACATGACTCCAGATATGGGTACTGCATGCATGAGGATGTAAATCATACTAGAATGAGCCAGCCACCTGTTCCGAGAGGGTGGAAAACTCACTCTTCCTCACCAATCTCAGATTTGCCTGTATGGGCCACACCTGGATCTCCCAAAAGGGGAAAATGGCACAGGAAATGCTACATTTACTGAGTTTCATTATGTCCAAATGCTGTTGTGGATTTTACATTCACTATCAACTAGTCCTCACAATAACTCTGTGAAGTAGAATTATTATTTATCTCTCACACACACATTTCATAGATGGGTGAAATGGGACTCAGAGAGATTAAATAACTTTCCCAAGATACACAGCTAGTAAGTGGTAGAGCTCATAAAACCAAAACAAATGTTCTTTCCACGACACCAGATCCCTGTGAAGGGCCAAGAACTTAGATGACTCTGGCACTCTTCTCAAGAGCAACCTGCTTAGCAGAAATGGTTCTCCCTTTGAACGGTCTTTTGCAAAAGAAGGACAAGGGAATCACACAAGGTCCGTGTTAGAAGCAGCCCGGGAGTAAAACAGTCCTCTGGGGAAGGGTTCTGAGGAGGTGGGAGGAGAGAGAGAATCCTCAGGCAAAGCCAGGGAGAGAAGTGGTGAAATCCCCCTCTGTTTCCCTTCCTTGGTGACTCTGAGGTTGCGGAAGAAGCTAGACTCAGGCCCCCGCCCTACATGAGGAAGCCTGGGGAGCTCCCAGGAGTCTGCTTTCAGCAAGACAGCCAGGGCAGGATCTGTGGCATTCTGGGCCCTGCTTTCTCCCTAGCCCATCATCTCAGATCTGGAGGGGTCCTACTTTGTCGGTGATGAGGAACCAAGGCCACACCAGCTTTCTTTGTGGTCCTCAAAAGCTTGATCCCACTCTGAAGCGGTAGAATTCTTGTATTAACGAATTGCCTCCACTAGACCGAGGGCTCCTTAATGGCAAGAGTCCTGCATGTTGTTTAGTAATGTACAGCCATGCCTTGCACACAGCAAGCACACAGAAAGCATGTTACATGTATGCAGGAGCCATGGCCAGGGCCCAAGACAGGGACCCTGTTTGTGATAATGGGAATTCATGAAAAAAAAAAAAAAAAACCACGACTGTTTTTAATAGTTTTCCTTTGTAAATCTACATACGTTTATTTTAGGTTACTTAAAAGTAGCATTGTAAAGTCTTTTTTTCCCCCCCAAAACAAACAGTATTCTGATAAGGGGTCTACAGTTTTCACCAGATGACCAAAGGGATCCATGGCACAATAAAAGTGAAGAAACCCTATATATAGAACTGTAACAGGCAGTTCTTTAAGCTGTGACCCCAAAGTAACACCAAAGCCTCCATTAAAGTAACCCAAGATCACATTAAACGAACTCCGAAACCTCCATTAAGTAGGGGCAGCCCTGTGCTTCAGGCCCGACTGACTCTGGGAAACAGCCATCAGGGCCGAAGAGCCTGGAAGACAGAACGGCTGCTGCCATCGGCAGTGAGTGAAGGTGAAACCCCTGTGGGCACCTGCGGGGTCCCTGCTCCTAAAATCAGCCCCACATCCAGCACAGCTGGGCGACGACGTGCAGGGGTTGCTAAGAATAAACACATAAAGTAAGGCAAAAAGGTGGGACCGGCAGGATCCCTGCTTCTGGGCTTCAGACAGGCATTGATGAAAGGTTCCCGCTGCCGGAGACGCCTCCTTAAGGAGAGAGCCGCGGTCTCGTCGGCACGTGCGTTACCTTCTCATAGTACTGGATGTTCTTGTCGGCCATCCCCATGAGCAGCTGCCGGAAGTCCTGCCTCTTGTTGTTCTGCCACCTCTCCATGTCGGCCTTCAGGTCAGCATTGAAACACTCCATCCGATCCTGACACTTCTCAACATCCGCTGGCACCTGGAGTGGGGACACGTAAGTGGGTACTTTGTATGCGTAACTGGTTTCTCACGCCTCGAGCTCCTCCGCTCGCTCGTTTGTGAAGGGCCAAATTTCTACATTAAAACGCCACAAACACACTCTCTTCTGGAGGCATTTATTTGAAGGCAGGGCCTAGGGTTTTCAGGTCTAAGAAGAAATTCTGAAAAAGACTACCATGACCCAAATCTTCTTCAAACCCATCCAAGCACGATGGAAACTCATGGGGAAACACCACCCGCACCGCTCTCGTTTACAAACAGGAAGAAGAAACACTGCAATTCGGAGTCATACAACTTTGGTTCCTTATTTTTTTCCCCATCCATGTGTAAAAATGTGTGTGTCAAAAGAATGTGAAATACGAAGAAGAAAAATGTAGCAGGTGATTTCAAGTTTTTCTTTAAGAAGCTGAGAAGACTTTCTCAAAATGGAACTATGTTGTCTGAATGTCAAGACTTTCACTTTGGTGAGTTTTATCCATCTAGAGAAAGAACATCCAATATTGTGAGAAGTTAACGGAAAATGATGGCCCTGGTTCTCCAAGCACAAAGCTAGCTTTCTCTCCTAACTCGAGAGCTCCATGGGGACTTCATGGTGGCCAGGGGGTCAACATGCCCAAAGGTGGGTCAAACCCACACCTGTAAATGCTTCCAGCAACTAATGGAGCCTTGTACATTGTGTGTGTTGGGGCCTGTGACCCTCGATGTGTCCAAGCTGTGGGTCACCTTCAGGGTCAGTCTCTACCAACCAGGGAAGTTTTATTCTCTGAACTTAGGGGCAAGGAGCTGACCCAGAAACACCAATAATGGTGAGGCCAAGCATGAGGGAGCCGGGCACCTTCAGGGCTTCCAAAAGTGCCGATGACACTTGGCCATCTGCCACCCAAACCATTCGAAGATGGCTGCAGTACCCAGGAGCAAGGAAAGCAAAGCAGCCTAGGTGAGGGGATCCAAAAGTGCCTGGCATGGGAACTAAACTTGGGCAAGACGAGGAGGAGGTAGAGAGAAAGATATAATGAGGCATCCCGGGCAACTTAAAAGGTGAAGGAACTTTTCTTTTCAGAGAGGAAAAGAACCTTCTTCAAAGCACTTAAGCTTCTGGAATTTAAAAAAAAAAAAAAAAAAAGACTGGATCTTCTTTTGATGCCATGACTGAAGTCACTCTTGCCTTTCCCCGCTGATTCGCCCACTACTGTTGGCCACCTCAGGCGGAACTGCCTCGGCTTTGCTGCACCCGAACCATTACTCCACACAAACATCTGGAGAACCAGCCTCACTGGTTCGCCCACTGAGCCGGTGTCTCTGGCCAGCCTCGTCTTCCTGCAGGAATAGTCCAGTTCCTTATTCCTCTCCTGGGCACCGTTCATTTTAGCATCTGGGTGAAAGTGCCTCACGGCAACTTCCTATTTGCTTAACAAAACTGCTTCTGCTAAGAGGAAAAGCAAAGCTCTGAAAAGACAACCCTGTCAGGGGGAAAGGGAGGACAGAGAGCCCGGGCTCTCTGATGAAAAGTTCTTGTGCAGGGAGATTCCTGGGTCTGTCTGGGGATGGGAACTCTGGATGACCCACAAAAATTAAGAGTCAGAACTACAGCTCTGCCTGTGATGATCGCCCAAGCTTCGCTTTGGGAAATATTTTCAGCTTATCATTTTCACAACACAATCCAGGCCTGGCACCGAGGAATATAAAAGTGCATGCGTCTCATTAGGCAAACTTGTCTCCAGTTGCCTAAGGTCTACTCGGGAAGAAACCGAACCTGCCTGGACAGTAAGGTGAGATGTTCCAAGTGCTTTCATTTCGCTCTCAAGCCCCGTGATGAGCGCATTTTGAGGTGGAACTGGAGAGCAAGTCCAACTGGAATGTGAGATCAGGCTTCATTGAAGAAATACCACGAAGGTGACGCTTCAAAGATGACAGAAGTGGGACATGTAATGATGGGGGAGAGGGCACTCTAGAGTGACAGTACATGCAAGTGACAGAAGTGAGAAAACACCGAGACTCACCTCAGGAATAGCTCACAGGCCATAACGCTCACAGAGGCATAGAGAGAGAACTTCCGCTGGCAAGACTACTTGGGTGGGGGCTAGAAGATGAGAAGCCTGGGACTCGTCCTGAAGGCCAGGTTTTCTGCGGTCCATTGAACTCATGCCCTCTTTTGGAAAATAGAAACACCTTGTGCTTCCTCTAACTATAAGACAGTTACGGAGCAAGACTTTCAGAGTTTGAATACTGCATCTAACACTTGACGAGTGACTTTGGGCTTCTCTATGCCTCAGCTTCTTTTTCTAGATAATACTATCCACCTTACAAGGCTGTTATGAGGTTAAATAAGATAGACTGCATAAAACACTTGGCACCTGGCATATATGAAGCATTCAACAACTACTTGTTAGTTCTGATCAGTATCGATATTACAAATCAATGTTCACAAAAGATAACTTATCAGCTGCATAGTTCCTCAGGTCAGAATATTTTATTAAGCTGTATTCCACGACTCATAAAAAGGGGTTACTTTTTTGTTTTCCAAATATAAAACTATTATCATTAAATGTGCTCTTTCAAACTTCATGCTACTCTTGCCCATGCTACTCCACCTCAGATTTCACTAAAGATCAGAGATGAGTCAACAACATAATACACTGTCATGAGATCACCCCCGGCACCCTGGCACCAGGAAGGGCAGTGGCTGTAACACCAGAAGGTAGAGGATGGCTCAGACCAGCATGGTAAACATAGAACTGACAGATGTGGCAATCGACTACACGTGAGATATAGGATATAGAAAATCACGGGAGAGGCTGACATTTGTAGTCTGGATGTCTAGGGTGGCAGTAGTCCACTGCAGGGCTCAGGATAAAGGACAGGTCCACAGGCTAGACAAAAGAGAGAGTGCACCCATGGGAAGGGTGAGAACTTCCCCACACATGAGGCTGCTAGAACAACTCAACAACGATAAAACAAACAACCCGATTTCAAAATGAGCAAAGGACTTGAATAGACATCTCCACAGAAGATGTGGAGATGCTCCACATCACTGGCCAACAAGCACATGAAGGATGGCTATGAGGATGGCTATTATTAAAAAAAAATCATAAAATAAATAAATAAATGTGGGCGAGGACGTGCGAAAACTGGAACCCTTATATACTGTAGGTGGAAATGTAAAAAGGAACAGCCAACTGTCAAAACCGGAATATTAAATATTAAAAACATAATTTCCATATAATCTAACAATTCCACTTACAGGTATACACACAGAAGAACAGGAAGCAGGGTCCCAACTGTGTATTTGTTCATAGCAGCATTATGCATGATAGTCAAAAGGTCGAAGCAACTCAAGTGTTTATCCACAGGTGAATGAACAAAATATAGTACATACATACAATGAATTATTATTCAGCCTTAAAAAGGAAGGAAATTCTGACACAAGCTACAACATGGAAGAACCGTGAGGACATTATTCTAATGGAAATAAGCCGGTTACAAAAAGGCGAATATTGTATGATTCCACTTGTATAAGCTACTTAACTTTGCTAAACTGTACAGTTTAAAATAGTTAAGATGTTATGTGTATTTTGCCACAATTAAAAGAATTTTAAATATATGGGAGAATAATATATATGAGGAAAGAAGGGTCATCAGGTAGAACTCATGGAAAAGCCTACATTTATAGGGTTAATGAAGGAATCAGCACAGGTCACTAAGAAAATGGGCAGAGAAGCAGGAAGTGAGGCAGAGGGGACAGGGCCACAGAAGCATAAGAAGGAGGCGGGGGAAGGGCTTAACTGGAGAGAATGAGAGGAATTGGGATGGGCTGTCTGACTCCACCAGCTGCGGAATCTGCCCAGCTTTATGAAGAGGACGGCTGCTGACATCAGACACTCAGAATCACATTTTTCTTGCTTTTGTTCCTTTTTGGATGGTAGTTTTGTGACAATCAGTTCACGGACCAGAAACATCCAGTATTCCTTCTTATCTCCATGTTTTAATTTTTTGACTGAGGGATTGTTATGCTGACTCGTGTCTGAAGGACGTCGAGACAGCAATATCCAATGCTCATGGTGGGGTGTTGCTTGCCACAAGATACCAAGAAGGAAAACAACATCGCCAGATAAGACCTCAAAAGACAAAAAGGTCTAAACAGAGGACAGGACTGCATTGTTCGCATCAGCTCCCCTATCACTCCTGAGAATATCTATTACCGAATATGGGCTGTGGGAGTGATAAAACGAGGGTAATATAGGATGAGATTAAGCATGTTTGTGTGTTGGGACGCAGGGTGGTAATGTAAATTCTCTCAATATTCATTTAAAAATGTATTAGTGAGCTCTTTCCATGGACCAGGAATTCCTAGGTCCCACAATATAAATCTCTACTTCAGTGTCCTTATTAGAGCTAGGCTGGAGATGTCACATTATCTGCTCCCATAATGAGGGTGGATTTTAAAAAGTCCCAGGGGACTTTTTATGTCTTTTTTGTGACCGGCTTATTTCCATTAGCATAATGTCCTCACGGTTCCTCCATGTTGTAGCTTGTGTCAGAATTTCCTTCCTTTTTAAGGCTGAGTAATAATTCATTGTATGTATATACCATATTTTGTTCATTCATCTGTGGATAAACACTTGAGTTGCTTCGACCTTTTGACTATCGTGCATAATGCTGCTATGAACATGGGTATACAAATACACACGGGGAAGATGGGGTTCATGGCTGCTATGGGACAAGTGCCAGGGCTAGTGACAGAAGCAATTCAAGACGGTGGTCATCTCAGCCATACGCTGCTGGGGAGAAGGTGGGGCAGAGCTTCCTAGCGGGTGCTGTGTGAATGGCAGCGACGCTGACGGCCCAGGCCTCTGGGAAGCCAGGGTTCCAGGCGTCTCACCTCGAGCTTCAAGCAACCTGGTCTGTTTATCCCAGCGTGTCATACAAATCTTTTCATGTCCTATGTGAGCTGCGAGATGAAAAAAAGTTGAGAAAACACTG